CGCTGGGCGTCCACCCCGCCGCCCACCGCCACACCCACCCACAGCCACACCCACACCAACCCCCACCCCAACACCCACACCAACACCCACACCCGCACACAGCCACACCCACACCCACACACAGCCACACCCACACCCACACACAGCCACACCCACACCAACACCCACACACAGCCACACCCACACCCATACCCACACCCACACACCCACACTCACCCAAACCCACACCCACACCCGCACCCTCTCTTTTTAGTATCAATAACATAGTAAACTCTTTATCAGTATATTTATTTTGAAATTCTTTTTCTTACGAATCTCAAATACTTTTTGTTCATTTCATTTCACGTCTGTCAACAAGGATGTAATTAGACAATATAATACAATCTTTATAAATGTCTTTTATATAAGGATCACCTGTATGATGCTTGATATCATGCCTCACATTTGCACAATACTTTACCTTTTTTTTTGAAGCATGCAGGACAAAATGTCGTCCTGAAATGCGTCCTGAAATGCGTCCTGAAAAGCAGCACAATATTTGAAAGCGTCCTGCAGAATCCAGGGCAGGACGAAAAAACCGTCCTGTGACGTTCTCTGATCCATACTCACATCCAACTACATCCACATCCAATGACACTGCTGAATAAAGTTCGATTTCATCAAAAATTATGTTTTAAAGATAAAAACATGTTTTATTCATATGTAGGCTAAATTGTGAATAAAATTGTCCTCCTGCTTCTATTTATTAAATGAATTCGAATGCAATTAATACCCTAGTCGAGACTTCCTAGAAGAATCCTTGTCGTCAGTTCCTGGGGGAGTTACAAGGGGATTCAGGGACTCCCCAAGGAATTGAGGAGTGCTATCAAGGTATATCTAGAATTCGCCATTGGAACGCTCTGAACAATTCAAATTTATGAAAATTTTCGAGGGACTTCATAAAATTTGGGGACTCTCTGAGGAGTTTTAGGGGATTCCTGAAATATGCAACTCCACCGTGGATTCACGACAGGGATTTCACATTTTTCGGGGAGCTCTCCAGTGATTTCGTTGGGTAGAGTCGCCTAGGGGTACGATGTCCAAAGGATTTCTGTGAAATCGATACAGTCAATAAATGATTTTGATTTTGATGGTTTAGTAACAAAATTCTACGAAAATATTTATTATAATTATATATATATTAAAATGATATACTGTCTTTTCAGTTATATTAAATAATGTAATGTAATACTTATTATAAAGCACGAAAACAAACTTAAAGGAATAATGGGGCCAGCTGTGGGTTCTTTCCCCAGAGATTGACATCTTTTTGATGCCAATCGAAAGAAGAAGAATAATTCTAGAGACTTTGAGATCGGTGAAGAACGAATTTTTAAGTTGTTTCCGATTGCTTGAAATGAAAATCTTGATGTTCATATGTAATGAATTTGTTTTCATAAATGATTTTAAGTTATAAAAAAAATCAGAGATATTGGTAAAGGTATAAGTCCATATTAAATCAGACACATAATATAGAGTAACTAAAAGAAATGATCCTCTTTATTTTTCACTGATATATGATATTCATGTGACTAATTCAATATTCAATATTTTTTAAATATGTCTATCACTTATTTAGAATATCATGTGCGACCTGAGTTCTTATACCACTGAAATACTGACTATAAAAACCTGCGTCATATTGATACTTCAATCTAAAGAAAACTTTAAAATGTTTTCGATTTACCTTCATATTGTTGTTTTAATTGCTGTAGTTACTGCAAGTCACTATAAGTAAAACCTATATTTTATTAAACTTCATACAATTTAATCTATAAAAATTACATAGAGGTGGTGTCCTGACATATACAATTCGCTCTAATCCAGGCAATGGAACATCCGATAATGAATTAATACAAGTACGTATTGAACAACGCCATTCATGGATTCGTTCTACTTATTTTTGTAATAATACATCTCCAAGCTCAGGTGACATAATTGGGGGCGGTGCACTTCAAATATATGGATATAGAAATTCATCAATATCGAAAATTCCTTCGATTGATGCCAGAGTACGATGTACAGATTATAGTGAAGAATTTAATTATAGTACTGGTGAAAATTCAACCAATATTGATCTACCTATTAACAATCGAATAGAATATGTGTATAGCTCATGTTGTTGGATTACACTTCTGCCACCTGATTCAGGCTCCAATTGGTCATTAAAACTTGTCATTAATACGAAACAACGTCTTGATGGAACGTAAGCAATAATAAAATCTAAAAAATAAGATAAATATTTTCCAGCAGTGGACAATTGGACCACTCGATGGAGAAATTGTTACACTTTATGGGAAAATGTTTCACCCCACATAAAGTCACACATATCAAGGAGAAATGGAAAGAAATAAAAATACATATATTGGGGTGATCAATTTGACTGATACCCCAAGGTACAGAATAGGAAATGATATTATTCCAAGGAGTAGTATATAACGAGTTTTATACCAAGTCAAAGTTCGTCAAAAATGGGATTTATTAGAACTAAATAGGAAGGGTTTTGTAAACCTTGTAAAGTCTAAGTTAAGGAATTTTCTACATTAAAAATGTTAAAAACTCCAATTTCCTATATGGAGGAAAAAACTAGATTTTCCCATAAAATTAGCTTTTTATGTACACAAAAGGTGAGTACATTCTAGAATCGGTCGGTGTGCCCGTCCGTCCATCCGTTTACACAATAACTTTTGAAAGAAGAGTTCAATCCCAATGAAATTTTCTACACAGTTTAGTCTGAATAATATCTCGCTCGAGTTGGAAGATGAGAAGAATTGGCCAAGCTATTCGTGAGTTGTTGCAAAAATAGTCATGTGTCCCTATGCCTTCCTATGCGAAAATCGATCAATCTGGGCTTTCGTAAACAACTTTTCCTATCATAATCAAATAAAACTCCAACCATTATACAACATTTGATAGAGAATTTCACGAGCTACAAAGTGGCATATAAAACATAAAGAAACAACAAGGCTAACTCACCTATTACAAAGACAAATAAAGGGAAATAGGTTCCGTTTTTGTAAACGGTTTAACCCTAGGGAGAATCTTTGACGTTTCAGCTTCGAATCCTTAACAGATATGATCAGGATCCGGCAAGGATTCGCTGTTTTTTCCTGAGGAAACAACGAATCCTGAAAGAACTGTGTCGGCATTATTTTCAAGGATCCTGTCAGGATTCAAAACAAGATTATCAAGGATTTCGACAAGTTTATCACTGTTTTTCAAACCAGGAATAAGCCAAGAAATTAATGATTCCTGAAAGAAGTGTGTAGCCACGGAATTGCAGGATTCTGTCAGGATTTCTATAATTAAAAAACAAAAATTCTGATCACATCTTTCAGGATCTGACTAGGTTTCGTAGAAGATGTGATCAAATTTCTTGACAGGATCTTTGCGGGATGGGACCAGATTTCTTTCAGGATGTCATCAGTTTCTTGGCAAGATGTTTGCAGGATTTTCTAAATAGCATATAAGAGAAATGAACACATAGAGTATCGACCTCTAGACCTTCAGTTTACATATCGATCAGCTTACGCAGCTGGATGTGCCATGTCATTCTATATCACTTTAACGTTCAATATATTCATTTCTGACTTTAATCTAAACTTCGATTTGAATTCAGTCAACACAAATAATTTCAAAAAAATTCTGAAAATGCAATATCATTTTATATATTGATTTTAGTCGATGAAATATTACTTTTTTTTAATTTAAATTCTATTTGAAAAATATTTATGATTTTTTCTTGATTTTAATTTGATTAAAAAAAAATATTTTGAACTTCTTGTTGTTTCAACTCCATTTATAAAATATATGTTGAATTTTTTTAATTTTAACTGTATTTAAAAAGTATATTTGGAACTTTTTTCAAACATAATGAAAATTATAAGCAGTTGTTATCGAAAAATTTCTTCTGACAAAAATTATCTATTTAACGAAAAATTTTACGATAACTAAATTAGAATTAACCTGCTAATTTAATGATTTTCGATTTTCTTTTCCTGATAAGATTAAAAGAACTTATTGCTGTATTCTCAAGCTCAAAACAACATTTATATAAACTTCAAACAGATTTAGAAAATTTTTTTCTAAGACTTTTAAGTTTCATTCTATTTATTTAAGAAAAGAGCCAAACCAGGATCACGATAAAAATGCCAATAGATTATTCAGTTCTCAGAAGTTTGTCGCGTTCCGAACAAAAACACAATAATGTTTTGAAAAATCCTTCTATTTATTTTTGATGAGATGTTGTTCAGCATTCATATTGAAATTCTTTTGTGATGCATAAATTTACAAATCTTCAAAGGGTTGTACGACGTTTGCGCGCGCGACTCTTGTGCGCAACGACACTTCCGCGCAAAATAAGATAGTTTATTTTACCTGCGTTAAGTTGAAACATCTTCTAAATTTTCATTAGCTGTTCTATAGGTGTAGATACGGAATAGGTGGTGAGAGCGTATGGCCACGGGTGCGGGACGTTGACACGTAGTGGGAGTTGCAAAGTTCGCTAGAAGTTCGAAACTGATGAACTGTTCGTTAAAGCGATCTGATCTGCTCGAATAGTTCAGCTCAGATTACATGAACGGTTCAAAGACTGCTTCCGACCTAAGGTGAACTGTTCAAGTAGTTCAGCTCAAATGGAGACTTCATTCATGAAATCATCTAATGGACTTCGCCTTTTGAAAGAGACAAATTCTGCATGGAAAACCAGAAAGTTAACACCGACATCTGCAACGCTAGACACATCATATGGGTCTGTAGGAGTACTACTTTGGATGCTAGATGCATCACCTGGATGTTGGAGGTATCACCGAGTTTGCTAGGGCGTAAGCTCAGATACCACAAGTATTACTTGGGTTATTAGCATAATTTCGGGTGATGCCAATAGCATCCCAGGTAATGATACTACCATCCTGGTGGTCCATCTAGCATTCCAGTTATTTGTGTTAGCATATTAGTTTTCCAAATAAAAATAGCCTTTAGGAACAGGTGAGATCCATAAGGTCGTTTCCTGAATCAAATTTTGATCAATAGATGTGGAATGAGGGTGTGAGTATAGGTTTTGACCTGGATCTGAGTTTCAAGTGTGATTTCTGAAGTGGGTTTGAATATTGAACTGTGGTTCTGAGCAGCAGGGTCTCTGTTCTCTTGATTCCGTTTCGACCCCACACCGAAACGCTGCAGCCACCAGTGCGGAAGTTAAAATGAGGCGAAACCGTGGTAACTCCATTCAACGTACTGAGTGGAAACAGTTGAATCAGTAATAACCTATTTCAACGCTGACATTGACAGTCACACTAAAAGAAGCGTTAATGAAACTTTAGAAGATGTATTAACTTAATACAGAAAAAACAAACTATCTCATTTTGCGCGAAAGTGTCGTTGCGCGCAAGAGTCGTACGCGCAAATGTCGGCGCGCAAGTGTCGGCGTGCAAATGTCACGCACGCAAATGTCGTACCACGCTTCAAAGGATCCTGAGCTGGTGAATCTAACTGAAAACATGAGAGAACTGTTTCAGTCATTTTTGCTGGGTTCCTGACAGAATCTTGAAAATTAAATTTTCAATATTATTCTCTAAGCATAAACCTGGAAAGATCTTAACTAGCTTCTTGTGTTTGCTTATCAAGATCCTGATCATACTTGTATTTTTTAAAGCATTCGAAATACCTGTTCTTGAACAGTTCCACTCAGCGTCCTCGTCGATGTTTAGCAGGATTTCTTACTTGAGAATTCTGAGTGATCTACATTTATTCCTTGTATGATCCTTCTCTGATATAACCATAACTCTTGGCAGGATCTTCGTCTCAGAATTCAGAACAGACCTTGGCTCAATCCGAATGAAATCATGAGGAAATCCTCTCTATGATTTTTTCAGGATCCTGCTTAGGATTAACAATGAATCTTAGCAGGATCCTACAAACTCAATTCAAACAAAAATTCGAGCAAGAACTTGAATAAATCCCGGATCGAATTGTGAATCAACCCTGACAGGATGCTTGAAATTTATCATTCTGAAAGATCTTTCAAGGCTGTCCCAAGCAATGAACATAGCTGAGTAGACTAGGTAGAAACCTAGAAAGATCTTTGATAAATCTTTACATTTTCTTATCAAGATCCTGATTAGGATTAACATTACTTTGCAAGGTTTGGAAGTGCAGATTCTTGAAAAGTTCTGAACAAGATCCTGATTAAATCTTTGCAGGATTAGCTAGTTTTGTGTTCTGAACGAACTTGTTATTTTCTTCTCAAGATCCACGTTTGATATGGCTATGAATCTTGATAGGATCCTGATACGAAGATTTGGCCTAGATCCTGACGAGAACCTGGTAAAATCTTGGCAGAATCCTCTCTCATAATCTTGAGAAGATCTTTGATAGGATCCTGTATTCTTAAATCAGAAAAATATCTGAGCAGGAACTTGAAGAAATCCTGACCAGGAACTTGTTTCACCCTGAAGACTCCTGGAAACAGGAATTAGTAGGATTTGAAACAGGATCCTGAATAAAACTTGATAGGATCCTTGAGATTCAGGATCCTGAGGGATCCTTTCAGGATTTCTCAAGGAATGAACAGGATCGACACTAGGGAATTGATTCACAATTAGAGCTCTGTCTTCCGATCATAGAGATGATACTTCCAGGTTTTCTGGAACGAAGAACTCGAATCTGTACTCCACTTGCCTCGAAATACTATTGGTTGAGCAGTAACCAATAGAAATCAAGTTGTAGGAAAAACGACTTTCTTAGGGTAAATCAAGGCGAATAGTTCAAATCTGAGCTGTATTCGCCCTAAGTCCTATTGATTGAGCAATCGCCAATAGAAATCAACAGTTTATAGGAAGGGTTCCCCAGTATATTTTTGATGTTCACACATTCTAGGATGATTCATCTGTCTAATTCACTTTTTGAAGTGCACATTACTCTCGGATTTAAATCCGAAGTTTCCGCATTTATTTTCATTATTTCTATTACCTCACATGTTTCGAAATATATTCAATAGATCCAGCATGGAAAACTGAATCGAATAAGTGTATTTCGAAACATGTCAGGTAGTAAAAATAATGAACAAAAGCTCATATATGGGAAAATTCCGTATTTTTCTTCCATATATAGATGCGAGATTTTTTAACATTTTTAATGTAGAAAATTTCTTAAGTTAGACTTTGCAAAGTTTACAAAACCTTTACTATTTAGTACTAATAAATCCCATTGTTGACGAGCTTTCATTTGGTATAAAACTCATTATATACTACTCCTTGGAATAATATCATTTCCTATTCTCAGGCTTCGTAGCAGACCCTTAAAATATAGGACACGATGTCTACGTAATATATGAATAGCGGTGTAATTCACATATTACGTAGACATCATGTCCTATATTTTAAGGATCTGCTACGAAGCCTGCCTATTCTGTACCTTGCGGTACCAGTCAAATTGATCACTCCCATATGTCTACATATATACATATATCCTACTGTGACCCGACAATTGAGCTTTCCGACACTTGAGCCTCATATTAAAACAAATTACTTGGTAGTTTGGAACAGCTGAACCGCCATTTTGATTTACATTTCATAAAGCTTGATGAATAATACGTTGTGGTGGATCATGTGATGCTGTTGCACCAGAATTGATATTTGATTTGAATTCCACTGATATTGTCTCTTCAGGATTTGATGCATGAACATGATCCGTAACTTTAATATATCCTGTTCCATCAAAACGTATACGAGCAGTACAGATATTTCGACAACAACACCAAATAATTTGAGATTTATTTGCACGACGATAAAAATAATAACTAAGTAAAAGTTGATCCTTGTTTTTTTGAAGATTTAACAATTGACATTGTTAATGATAATAGAAAAATATACCAACAATGATAAAGCCTTTATGAGCCAAAGAAATATAATTTAAAAACTTGTTCATTTCTGTAAAGATGATTGACTTAGCCACGAAAAATACATCAGCGAGTTATCAGTACCATCGAAAGATGTCTCATGATCCTGTGCACTATTTTCGAGTAAATTAAGTGATCCAATATTAATTTCGGGCATTATATACTTCATCGATGAAATTTCAATTTTGTAAGGCTCAAGTGTCGCGAGGCTCAACTGTCGAGGGCTCATTTGTCGGGGTTCATCTGTCGGCACACCATATTCTACTATATGTATGGCATATATAATTGAAGTTAGACAGAAATGAAAAAAATTTCCATTTCTCTCTTACACTTTTCGATTTCTACTTGCGTAAGGAGAAGCGGATCAAGGATTTCTCGTTGAAGAATAACGTTGGAGTAATCTGTTCGAATGAAGGTATCGGGTTTGTATAAAAAGCGTCTTCTTCTGACTTTATGTGGTTTAAGGATTTCTTCTTGAAGTGGAACAGTTTATCTTTGAGAGGGAAAAATGGTCCAGCCCTGATATCTTCTTGTAATATTTAATAGATTGAATAATTCTCCTAAGACTACAATGAATCCAATTGTTCAATTTGAAGTTGGTAAGATACATACTATTCGTATACCAATGGTTGATAGTGATGGTGATTATGTACGATGTCGATGGGCAAATTCAACAGAAGAATGTGGAAGTATTTGTACACCAAAAGGTTTTCTTCGATCAAATCCTTGTGAATTAACTTAT